CTAAGTCCATGCCATTTGTTTCTTCTTTTCGTGTTGTCATTTTTTCCCATTTATGTTAGCTATGGCATCCCAGCAAGATTTGTTCCCCGAAGTAATCTTGTCAGATTATGACGATGTCATGATGTCGGACCGGGAGATAGAAGCGGAGATAATGGCCTCCAATCAAATAAACCCAGTGCCAATAGTAGAGTTGGTGATGAATCCGGTTGCTTCCATATCCGCTCCCAATGTTGATGCTGATAGGGAAGTCCTTACCCGCCACGATGCTGAACCTAAGCCAACCACATCAGCCTCGAACCGCTTAACACCCATGTCGGAACTACCTATGGCGTCTTGTAGGATCTGTAATCGAAGGCATCCACTATATAAATGTTCTGTGTTTAGAAAAATGTCGTTGGAAAAACGCTTGCGTACTGTAGCTTATAATCGTTACTGCTATAATTGTTTGCGTCCAGACCACCTGTCAAAAAATTGTCCAGTCCGCCTATCGTGTAGACATTGCACCGAACGCCACCATTCCCTTTTGCACAAAACTCGTGGAAACCGGTCTAAGAAAAACTCGCGTGCGGTTCGCAATAATCCAACTTCGGTTGTGCCTAGAGGTATATTCCCACCACCACCACCTCATGTTATACCGGTATCAGTATTGCCTATGGGTCGACTTTTGTCTCTCTCTCCAACCGTATTGGTCCGTCTCTGTCTGCCACATTCGACCATTCCGGTAAGGGCGCTGCTTGACCCCTGTTGTTCAATTAGCCAAGTTTGCGCTTCACTTGTTCACCAGTTACGATGGCCAACAACAAAAGTAAATGAGCTGGAGTATGCTGACTTACTTATAATATCGCGGTTTGATTCTGTCCAGAGACATTTCGTAACGGCTAGTGTTGCGAATATTACCCGTGGTGTGACTCCGTCAGTGTCGATTTCCCCCGCAATACGCGAATCGTTCGTTGGTCTCGAACTCGCGGATCCTGCGTTCGACAAAGCTGGACCAATCGCAATGGTTCTTGGTCCAGAAATTTATTCAAGAATTATTTCCCCTCGAGTAATTGCACAACCCGGTTTGCCTACGGCCCAATATACCACCTTCGGATGGGTTCTTTCGGGTCCCGTCCCTCTCTAAACAACATTTTTTATTATTGTCTTTATTGAATTTTTATAAAATATGAATTGAACTGAATTAAATGCTCACATAAACCTGAACTTACGATCCTTTGTTTACTATATTATAGCTAAAATTTAACATATTACTGATTTAAACTTGCATGTGTTAATACATTGAAATGTATCAAGGTGGGCGGCAATGTTTAAGTTGGCCTTCAACTTCCCGAGTCCAGTCAATCACGGATGCTGATTGACACAGCGGGCATCTCCTCGGCATACTTCCCTCGGCGGAGACCGTAGAGCGCAGATGCCACCGGGCGGTGGTTGTTGTTGGTTAGCTCGCTTTGATACATAAGAGACTCTGCTCTCATTGGAAATATTTGTATATGTAGTAGTAATAATCGACAATGATCCTCGGCGATCACTGCGATCCTCTGCGATTGCAAGAACCTCAGCGTTCACTTGTCGACCAGTAGTTGAAAGGTACACACAAAGGTCTCTGCGCCACCCCAAATTACACAAGGTAATTTTGCTTGTTATAATAAGAAAGAATAACTCAATAAACCACCAAACTAATTTGAATTTAAAATCTAATTACTGTTGTGTTTTTATTTGATTCTTTTCTCCTCCCCACAACCCCTTGCGCCTAAACACCCTCTGAGGGTATAACAAGTTTCTCAAAGTTCTCCGATTTATGGGAGGACTCCGGAGAACTTGCTTACTACAGCAGACTAAGGGACTTCCCTCTTTAAAATAACTCCTAAGAGGCCTTTCGGACATGGAATATCTAAATTACATCTAAAGACATCAATATTTCTCAGAGGCCTACTCTTTATAGAACACCTCATGTTATTCGATTTAATGAATATTTTGCCAGTTGTAAAAGAATATGTCTTAGGTGCCTCTATCCATGAATGAAAGTAGTAGAAAAAGGTTTCTCTATTCCTGTTATCTCAAGTGCATATTCAGAGAAGACTATTTTGATAGTAGAATCTTGAACAGAATTCTCTTTAAATGTCTAGCGTAACTGTTCTATGGATATAGAGACAATTGGCCTTAATGGATCCTCTAGAAATGTTATATGGAGGATTTTTTTATGAATACAAGAACCATGAAAAGTCTTCTATGGACGTATTACTCTTAAGAACTCTCCTCGAAGTAGAAGATCCTTCACATGTTATCAATAAGCGGAAGGTCCTATACAGCTCTTCCAGAGATGGAAGAACTTGTGCGTTCTTAAGGTCGATGTTCTTGTATTATGAAGTCGTCTTTTTTAAACAAGATATCTTCTACAGGGTGAGATGAAAAAAACTGCAACCAACTTCAGACTGCTGTCATTCCAAAGCCACTCGTCCGACAGCTGTTAAAATTATTTCAGTGACAGCTCATTATATTGTTTATAATCGTACAAAAGCATTTCGGAGTGGACGGAAGAAAACAGCAACATCAGCAGAAATTGTTCGAAAAGTAAAGAAGCGGCAGTGGCCGAAAAATGGCTCGTGATCTGAATAAATCGCAATATTCCATTCGGCAAATATTGAAAAATGAGCTCGGGGTTAAGCCATTTAAATTCCAAAAATTGCAAGAACTTACACCGCAACACAAAGAAAATAGACTCAAAAGAGTTAAGAGTTGCTTTTCTTGGCCGAAAGTTGTGAACTCCCGAATTTGGTTTTCTCCGATGAGAAAACATTTGTTGTCCAGCAGTTTGTAGACAAACAAAATGATCGTGGTTACTTGCCAAAGAGGTCAGCTGAAAATGTGCACCTTCGGTTGGCCACCAGAACTCAAGCGCCGGCCATGATGATTGTGCGGGCCACCATAACAGCCGATGCAGCTCGTGCAAATCGACCTTGGCATTAGAATAAATGCCGAATATTATCACGAAAACATTCTGGAGGGTGCACGCTAACATTTTGTCCGCAGACTTTGGACATGTCAACAGGACTCAGCTCCATCGCATTCAGCACGCGCCTCCTAAAATAGTTACAAAATAAAGTTCCTCGCTTCATTTTTAGCGCACAATGACCACCAAAATTTCCGAATACCAAACCGTTAGACTATAGTGTCTGGAGTATTTTGAAAAGCAAGGTTGGCACTAAAAAATACCTCAAGCAAGCGCTTCGCCGGGCCAAATGGGACAAAATACCGCAGAGCAACATTCGGACAGCGTGTGACGATTTCATTGACCTTTTAAAGGCCATAATTTGTACCAAAGGTGACCAATTCGAACAAATCTAAACTTATTATAAATTTGACGCAATTTCCGATATTTTTTGCTTTCATTCAATAAAATTAAAAAAAAACGTAAAAATTATGGCGTTTGACTTTGTTGCGGTTTTTTATCTCATCCTGTATATATGTTTCATCCGATTTGATGTTTAAATCTCCCACTTTCGGAATAGGCCCTCTAAAATAATAATATTTTGTACCAGATATCTCATAGAGCTCAGAAATGCGCAATATAAACCTTTTTTACGAGAACTCTACTAAATAGGCATTGTGGTGTAGGGTATCATACAGTCGGCCCGCCCTAACTTTTGACCTTTCATTACTGGTTTTCCAGTCTCTTTAGAGTCTTTCTGTGGAGATTACAAGATTTAAAGGCCCTCCGAAAGAGAAAGATTTTTAACAAAGTGTCCATATACAAGGATTTTTAGAGGACCCTTGGCAATAACTTTTTAGACCTTGAAATTAAAGAAGATCCATATTGGTCGTGTATTTTTAGATGTCTAATTACAGGCCATTTAGAGGTTTTCTATTTATGGAAGACCCATGTTTTGTGTCTTTGGACAACTGAACTTTGTGGGATATTGATTGAAAATCGGGGCTCTTGCGAAGTCTTCTATAAAAAGAAGGCTCTAGAGAAGCCTTTTATATAAATGAGGCCTTTGAGAAGTTTTCTATTTATAAGAGTCCTCGAGAGATCATTCAGATTCAGATATAACAATCTGGGAAGTTTTCTATTTATATTAGATTATTTAGAAATCTCCTGCGGCTCGAAGGCCTTAGACATCTCTTCTTAAGATGGACGATCTTTGAGGTAACTTTTATTTATTTTCTAAGAACATATTTTTTAGAAGAACTATCAGTTGTCGTCTATTTGTAGAAGACCTTTCGGAGACATTTAAAAATTCTCAAAATGCCTGAATACAAATCTTCTTAAGATGGAAGTCTCCTGAAATTTCTAAATTTTCTTTCTAATAAAAAAACCTCATACATATAAGTCCTTTGAGGAGTTTTCTATTAAAAGAGCTGAGACACTAAAAATTCCTCCTTCCTTAAAAAAACCCTCCCCTGGATAGTATATATTTAAATTCAGCTTTAAATTTATTAATTTAATTTCCTTTTAATCCTCATTAAAAACCAGTTCAAAGGTCAGTACGCATTATTTGCAATAAAGATCGCCAAAATGCCTGAATAAATTCTTCTTAAGGTGGAAGTCTCCTATAATATCTTCTATAAAAATGCCTAATATATAGAAGCGCCTTGAGCGGTTTTCTATTAATAGAGGTGGGACCCTTAAAATACCTCCTTGCTTAAAATCCCTTTCCTTAATTGAATATCCTTAAATTCCCCTTTAAATTTATTTATTTTATTTCTTTCAAATCCTCATTTCAAACCAGGTCAAAGGTCAGCACACATTATTTGCAATTTCCAATGGATTTTAGATTTGAGCCGTATTTAAACCACCAATCAACCGCCATACCCAACTAAATCGTTGATTTGAAACACGTGTGTGCTAAATTAATTAAATTCCATGTTACATGTGTTCGCTCTGGCACCGGCAGCCAGTCAAACAGAATCCCGACAGTCACTGGCATCAGTCACCCATTCAAGTTGTGTAGATATTATGCAAAATTTTAATGATAATGAGCGAACATCTGCTCCGGTACTTACCAGGCCACTTAAACTGATGTTATTGCCAACGATGCTATTATGGGATGATACAATAATCAGATTTTCCACAGCTGCCTGTAATTCCTTTGCCGTGCAATAGGATGTCGTTGCGGCCAAATCATGCCACCACGGTGCACCCATGCTCTCATGCAGGATCCAGGCATAATCAGCACCGAACATACGCAAACGGTATGCCTCGCAGAGGATGTGGGGTGCCAGGATGGGCGAGAAACTACCGATTATGATACGAGTATCACTTTCCTTAAGAAAAACAAAAACGAGATTTTTTCAATGAATAAATTTGCATATGTATGTGTGTTAAGGTGGAGGGAAGTTAGTGTGTGTGTGAGTGTGAGGTATTGAAGTTCCTTTTGCAAAACTTGGGGAAATTAGCACATGAATAAATCTTCTGTAAAGTTATCCAACCACCCATAATCCATCTTCTTCTTCATTCAAAATCAAGGTGAAGAAAGTTTTGTGGGAATCTGTAAATGAGCTAATATGCCAAGGGTTTTTGCTCAAAAAAAAAAAAAAAAAAAAAAAAAAAAAAGGAAAACGGAAACCCGTCTCAAATGAGATTCACATTATCATCAATGGGTGGTGAATTACAAATGAGCTCATAATGGAATTGTGGAAGCATGTGGTTTTATTGCCTCGAGATTATATCAAATGCAAGGAATTATTATTTATACAAAAGTTTTTGGATCCGGAGGAAATGAGGATTCCTAATGTGTCTTGAAAAGTTGTTAGAGTGCGTGTGTGTGTGTTTAATGTTTAAAATTTATAATGAACTTACACGCAATAACAACAGCTGCTCCTTGTAGTCGGTGGCGCCAAAGGTTATGGTGGCAGCACACGATATATTTGCCGCCTCCAATTCGGTGACCAAATCGTTCACAGCCAACGAATGTATCTCCTCATTTTGTGAAAAAGTCGTGACAGTGTCCCAAGCAAATCGCCGTATGAAAGCTATTCTGGCTGGATTGTGGGATGAATCAGGCGCCACGGTTCTATAGAAGTACGGAAACTCCTGGCGATCACTCAACGCCGGTGAGGTGGATCCAAATGAAACTTGAACAATATTCCAATAGGGCACCACTTTGGCTAAGCTCTCGGTTACTTCGGAGCAGGCGGAACCCAGTAGCATAACCATCCGTGTGGAGGGCTGGGTGTAGATCGCGTGAAAGAAACGATCAACCCCTACGCCGGGATCACACTGCAAAGAAAAAAAAATTGGAAGGGTAGGATGAAGCCTAAAAAAGTTAAGGTGAATCATAGTCAGAAACATTTTTTTGGTAAAACTATGTGAGGTAAAAATATTGTTACTATTTTACAAGAACTCAAATTTCAGCCAAATTGGCCCAAAATTGTGTACAAAAAATCTCTAAATATTCTAAATCAGTTGTATAGGCATATACCCATTCAACTTATTCAGTATTGAGCTTTCAGTATTAAGTCTATTCAGATCAAAAGACTCATAGCCACCAAAAATTAAGAAAAATAAAATCTAAAAAACAAAATTCCACAAATTCCCTGAAAAATAAAAATCTTTGGCCAAGGTATCTTGAGAATATTCTTAAAATTCGCCGAATATGAACCATAAGATTTTTATTTATTTATTTTTTTTAAACCCACGATTTTTTCAAAATGCACAACGAGTCGAGATTATGTTAATAAAAAATTCAAGATTTTTGGTGAGTATTTCCTTGACAATTGTTTTCAGAAAATATAACAGGCCGAATTCGGTCATATGGGCAATACCTATTCAATTCATGCTTATTTTAACGATTTGATGCACACAAAACTTGAAATCGAATAAAGGTATATATGGAATCTATATCAAAATTTCCACATATCTGCTTCTAGGCTTCTAGTCAGGTTCCAAATTCAATCCCATTTGGACTATCATTACACATTTGGTGCACAGTAAAAGACAAATTGGAAGAAGATATATATGACAGCTATATCTAAATTTTGACCGACTTTCGCCAATTTCGATAAGATTCGTGTGTGGGGTAAAAAATGTTTTGTGCACAATTTCAGTTACAACAAGTAAAAAAACATTAAGTTCGACCGAGCCGAACTTTTAATACCCACCACCCTAGGGTAAAGGGTAGAACCCATTATGACCCACAAATACCAATTTTTAGGAATATTCGAGAGGAAAATGTGACAAAAATTATCAAAATACTGAATATCGGGAGGTACCGCTATATGAGGCTTTACAAAATCGAGCTAGAACCCATTATGACCAACGAATACCAATTTTTAGACAAATCCGCGAAGAAATGTGACAAAAATCATCAAAATACCGGCAAATCATCGGGAGATACCGTTATATGAGAGCTATACCAAAACGTGGACTCATACATATAATATTTCCAACTATTTTACTAGTTAAAAAACAATGTTCTTCAAAATCCGCGATTACGAATCAAGATTTCAGTGATAGCTTTTTTTTAATTTTCGAGTTATGTAAATAAAAAATATCACGATAAAAAAATACAGGACTTTTAAAAGGGAAAAGGACGTCCTCGGAAAATGTTATAAAGATTTGTATATTCAGTATTTTTGAGCACGAAGTCTTCGAACATACATTCTTAAGAAATTACAACGAGATTGCCACCTTCGTAAAATTCATGATTTTTTAGATGTCAGATCTTTGATGAGGGAAGGAAAAAGAATAAATGGACGTTTATTTAGTAATTAAAAAAAAAACATTTGATAATGATAAAAATCTAGAAGTTTGAAGTTTGCATCAACACAAATGCTCCTTTTTACATAAAAGCCTATTAAATTAAAAAAACTTATTCCCAAAAGATCACAATTATTGGAATAGACAAATTGAAAACTGTCGTTGACAGAAAATCCTTGCAATTTTTTTTAAATATCCAAATGTTTTTGCAAGTCTTATTAGGTTATGTTATTCAGGTTAAGTTATTCTAAATAACTAATCGGAATGATTATCGTTTAGATTAGTTCTTTAAAAGTTACGTTTTGAGGTTTGGAGGCAAAAATATGCCTAAATTATCTATCGTTTTTATCTATGCAGGCTTCCAAAATTTCCTAGCAAATAAGCAAAACAATAATCGGGCGGGGCCAACCATTAGATACAGAACAACACTTCACACTTTCTGTAGATCTGAAATCATTTCGAATACAATGAATATTCCTCTTAGAAATATCCCCATATCTACTACATAGTAAAAGCAAATATTGAACTTAATTGCTCCTCATTTCGAATAATCATTACAGATTTCGAACCAAAATTTCCCAAAAAAAAAAAAAAAAAAAAAAAAAATACAATCTCTAAACATGCATCGGTATTCTACGAAACAGATGCTCCTGCTACGTCAAATACGTAATTTGCTCTGTCGTCAGATACGTAATGTGCTCTGACTAGGGACATTTGCCCAATATTTACGCACTCCGTCGTTCTGTTAATTGTTGTGGTCCGGCTTACAGCTAAATATAATCCAATGGTCAACCAAAGTGCTAGAATTCTTCCCTGTCCTTAACTCTCTTCTTAGGCGTGTCGATTGACTTCAATTGTGTAATCAGTATTTTTTTCTATTTTTGGTTCATTTGAACCCCTAAATATTTGGCGATCATCTCCAAAAGCAAGACTCATCTATATGATTTGTTTGTCTACGATATTTGCCTATATCCGTCAAGGAAATCAGCATAAAAAAGCCAGAAGTTCGTCTATTGTGTGTTTCGGATATCGCCTGTAAGTAATGTTGGTACCACAAACAAAAGTAGTGGTCCGTTCTACCCGCTGTCTTAAACTGCTGGTTTTAGTTGTTGGTCCATTTCAACCCCTAAACATATTGCGGACATCTTTGAAAACAATAGGCCTATCCGTTGTGAACCTAACCCTACTGTTGCGAAAATTTTTGTGAGGAACGGACGATAATTGCAATATGTATATAATAATTCCAACCTGTGTTGTAAGGTGAAAAAATGTTACAAAATATACACTGCAATATTATAAGTCAAATTGAAAAAATCGCATACGATAAAAAATATGAAAAAAAAATGTCACAAAATACTACAAAATCTATATTAACATCATTATTGACATCTTTTTATGCGATTTTTTTAGATTTTATACTTTTATGTCAAGAGGGCATTCTGAATTGACAAAATTTGTCAAAATCGGTTCAGCCATCCTTGAGATATAAGCATCCTACCTAACATCCCTCTGCTTCGTTTATACACATTGAATATATATGTCCGATATATTTACTATCGTAACGGGCAGAATTGACCTTTTCGTCAGTTTGTGATTTCGCCGATGACTATGAACATTGGAAGGCTTCTGTCCAGCCCTAAGCTCTAGCTCCATGCTAACTTTCGCTTCAATTGGTCTATAATTGCGACTTGTAGAACAACTGCAAAATCAGGAAATTTTCCAGTATTTGGTCCATTTCAACCCCTAAATATTATGCGATCATCTCCAAAAGCAATGGGCTTTTATTCTGGCCCTAGCCCCACCCACGTTCTAAATTTCGTGAAGATCGGGTAACAATTGCGACCTGTAGAGTGATTACAAATTAACATGGACAGACGGACGGACGGCTAGATCGACTAAGCTCGGCGAGATAGGAAGATCCATATACACTTTCCTATGTGGGAAACCAATATTTCGACTCCAAAGAGATTCGAAACAGATTTTCATTCAAATCATTATTTCTTTACTTTTAGCCTAAAGACATCATCTAAAATAGTCTGCCACATCCAGCCTCTTTAAATTGCTTTACCTTATTTCTATTTAATGTTTATCACCTATGTTATCTTAAATACGGCACAATGCCCCGACATATGTAAAGATATGTCTGAATGGGACTACATTTCTCACTTCTTGCGACAGATGTCTTTCGCTATTCCTTTAACAATACTTAAGTGTGTGCGTGTGTGTGTGTGTGTGCTCTACATAAAATTGACGATATATAGTTGTGTGTCTGACATTCAGTTCAACAATACATTCAAGCACCTTTATGATTTGAGTTCAAAGGCGGGACACATACACACACTACCCCACACGGTGCTCTGGCACTCTCATAAAAAATTCATGAGAATTAACCAAATGCATGAATGTATGGGTGTGTGTGGGTGACTGTGCTATTTCATATGAACATATAAAAACTATCTGTACTTTTATCATTATACGCTGTGACATTAATACCCCAACATTCCACTAATATTTAGCGACTCGGCAGCAAAAAGGATGAACACGAACGAATGTCAGTTACTCTCAATAACCATAGCCGCAGCCATAACCTACAACCAACAACGAGCACTTAATTATAAATTTATAAAAATGTTTTTTCCCCATATTTTTTTTGGGAAAGAGGCTATGAAAATTTAACAGCAAACGCTTGTGGCTTGCCCCAACTTTCCTAGATAGCAACGAGGCTCTAACTTAATTAGCATGGCGTCAAAGGATTCTGCCATTCAGGCAGCGGTAACACGAACGCGAACAAACTAAAAGCCAACTAAACACTGGCGCACTGAAAAAGGAAGTCATCTGTGCACCAGGAAGTTCAGTTCGTTTTGCATAATTCTCTATATGAGAGAATTGTAGATTTTTCGTTTAACATAAATGGAGGTAATTATTTGAATGTGAGTTTTTTTCTTTTGCTCCGGCCACTTTCCTGAGTTCCACACACACCGAGGAATTTGAATAAAAACAAAAAACAACAACAACAAGAAAAACTTTGTGTTACATTTAGTGGCAAATGTGGGATTTGTAGTGAATTTATGTTCTGCAGCAACTTTAATATTTAATGTGAATGTTAAAAGTTTGAAGCATTTGCCGTACTCGTAATGCTAATTAAATGCTTTTTAATGTTGCCACTGCCGGGCGTATGCGTTATGAGAAGTTTAATCTAAAATACGTAGCTCATACGTTGTGATAATGGCTCCCTAGATAATTTTTATGGGGAACTGTGAATTAAAATGTAGGATACAAGAAAATTATATATAAGGGATAGGGTTGACATTTAGTAAACGGAAAAACTAGAAAGTGGGTTTTTGATGTTGGTCGGTGACCTCTTTATAATATCCCACCTCTTTATAATATACTCTGGTTATCGCCTCAAACCAATATTTATAATTTTCTCTCATTTTAATGAGGGCTAGCTGTAGATTTTTATGATGAGCTGATTCAAATTCGATAGGAAATGGTTGTATGCAAGTGCTTCATACAAAATT